TAAGAAAAAGTTTTTATTTGGTATGAAGACAGCTTTTATGAACAATACGGAAGCATTCAAACAAAATTCAGCACTTTTCAATAAGTAGACATCAGCTTACAATTAATAAAATTCAGTAGCAGAAAAAAATGGGGTGTGGTCTACATAATTTTTGTTTTACTTGGCAGAGCATGTTAAAATCCAGGATATTTGCTTTACACAACTACAATCGTTTTTCTTTTAAGTTAAATATTTGCCAATTGAAAATGGTGAGTGACCAAGCCCAAATGTGAAGGTAGGAGGAGGACTGTTGTATATGCTCGTTAACACCTCTATTCTTTAAGAATCTACTCACTGAAAAAAAAATAAAGAAAGAAAAATAGTATTATTTTGATAGTCTATACCACAGGAGAGACGGAAGGTGTAAGAAAATGTTGCTTAAAATAATTAGTTCATATAAAAAATGAAGGGTTGCTTCTTAACAAATTAAGTTTGTGGCATCCTTCTCAATAATAATGAGAAAAATATTTTATTTCAAACTGGTGACTGTTAATAATTTGTGTTCACAGAAATACCTTGCCTCTTGGAATTATACAAGCCTTATTACAATAAATGTAATAGCTTGTGATTGCTACTCCTCTCAGCAAGCAGGATGTAGCAGTAAAACCAACAGAGATGGCATGGTAACTGAAACAACAAAGATGGTGAACAGGACAAAGGAATTTGTATATTTCTCTATATTTTAATATATACAGCATAAAGACTTAATTAAGCACTAAATGATATCATGCAATATCATCCTTTTTTAAATTTGCATCTTGCTGTTATTTTGTCCTCCATTTTGACAAATACTAGTTTTCCAGAAACATTAGTCTCTGTGAAATGGCCATTGTTCTAATCTTGGCCTATACATCAAAAATAAAATAAGTTGGCACTGAAGCAGTTAATTTGTCAGGAATTTCTTATTCCTCTACAATGATTCATTTGATACCACCAAAACAAAATTTGGTAAAGATACATACTGCCATTTGGAAAAACAAATCTGCATAGATAAAAACATTTCTAAATTTATTTTAATGTTTCTATGAATGATAACCATGTTATAGTATTAAATGTGAATTGTGCAGACTGATTCATTCCAAGTGAAAACTGTTAAACACGACACAAAACATTGGTAGTATGGTGACCAGAAAGTAATCAGAATATCACAGCAGGTCATTCTCTTACAATTTTAAAATTTTTATTGCAGTCTTTAATTGTGTGTGTACCAAAGTAAATAATTTCTTGACAAGGTTTTTTAAAGAAAAAAAAAAATCTATAAATAACCTAGTATTTTATTTCCTCATCTTTGATATTCTTGCCAACAAGAAGTTTTATTTATTAGCAAGTGCCATACATTAACAAATAGTCAACCTCCTCTCTTTTGCTAATCTGGATCCAAAGTTCAGCAAAAGGGGATCGAATGTATATAGATAATTCAAAGAGGATGCTTTTTTTCACATTTTTTTTCCTATAAAAAAAAAAAAAAAAAAAAAAAGGCAAGAGGCTCAATTTCATTCAATCAGTCAATTCCAACTAAATAAAACCAGTGCATATCACAAATATTTCTCTCTTGTAATATTTATCACATTTTGCATTCCATCTGCAAACAACATACAAAGTTTGCAAGAAGGCATTAGAACATGAAAATAAAGTTGATAGACTGACTTTTGATTTATTCTTTTTTCCATTGATTTATCATATGACTGTTAGGGTAATGTAACTTTAAACGGTGTTTGACTTATGATACTTATAATCAAACGCACAACATTTTATTTTTAGACTGTTTATAAAGAGGACATCATTAAATATATACAGAAGCAAGGGAGTTACATTTTTGAAAAGGCAAATTTGTCTACTTTTGTTATTGTAAATATGGTTGGATGTGCAGGTTGTGAAGTGATTAATGACAAGAAATTGGCACGTTTGTTATATTCACTTTTACACTAATACCCTTGACAAAGGTATGAATCCATATCTTTTCCCACCATTTAAATAGCAGAACTGGGATCTCTTGCCTTAAGATGACAACCAGTCTAGGAGAAAGAAAACTGAATTCAAGACCAGTTTGAAGAGGCTTGTACACATGACTACCTCCTATGGCTGTAGTATATGTAGGTCTTCCAACAAACCTAATGGGTTATGACACTGACACACACAGGCCTCATCAAATATATACAAAAACAAAAGTTTTTAATTTTTTTTAAAGGAATATTTTTTTTTTGGCTATTGTAAATAGGTTTATTTTACTATTTTGCAACACTTTTCAGATGGCCCATTTACCAAAAAGTTTATATGTTTTATTTTTTTCATTTTTAAAATTGTCTTGCAGAGCAAGTACTTCTGTTCATTCTGTGTAAGTTTCAATTAGAATGAAATTTATCTGAAATAGAGTACAAAAAAAAAAAAAAAAAAAAACTGGCGTGGGATTTAGGGAGAGGAATGCAAGTGAATAAGCAAAAAGAACAATCATTTCAGAATTTTTCAGTGAGAAAAACTTCATAAACAATTAACCAAGAGACAATCTAGGGAAGATAACTCTGCAACAACAATTTGCACTCAGTAAACATGGAAGTTTCTCATCATTTGGTGGTGATAGAAAAAGTGGAAAAATCAGAAAAACTGCATTGTTTTAAGGTCTGCTTATCACAACTTACAATAATAATCATGCATCCCCAAAAAACATTACTGCAATGGACAAAGGATCCTTTATGATATTAGTAAACATTTTTTTATAAAGAATGTTAATTTCGATTAAAATGTCACATTTTACTTTCCCTGTATGCATATATATATATATATATATATATATATATATATATATATATATATGAGAGGAGAGTGAGAGTGGACATTGGAATCAACACTGCATGATGACTAACATTTTCAAGCCTTAAGTGATCATCAGAACAAGATGTTTGGTCATTTGCTCAAAAGATTGCTTGAAGCATGAAACTGACAGCCACCATGCAGTGTAGAGTTTGAGTTTTATGCTCCCACCGTTTATATCTGTAAATGCTATATCACCAATATTGAGCACTCTTTCTTCATAAATATAGCAAAGTTTAAACTATGTATATATGATTAAATAAAGAACAGGAAAATCTTTATAAATTTAACAGGTTTTGCTATTTACTTCGCTTCATCAGAAATATTTGGGAATAAATTAATGCAAGATATATTTCAGTTTTTAAATTGTTTTGTTTTCTCTGATTGTGTAGACAAAATGTGTGTACATTATGGTGTATGTTTTGATTTTTAATTCTAGAAATATTGATGTAGTGTCTATTAAAAATTAGGTTTAATAGTGCATTTTAACTGTAAATGACAGATGCTTGTAGTGACTGTATATTAATGGGTTATATATTTTTGTTCTTTATTTAACCAGTGTTGAATTTAAACCATTATTTTCAACTAATGCATATTTCTTTAACCAGTGACTACGTATCACTCACAAGTGGTAATTAGTTTTTGACTAAATGAAAACAATTCTTTATATAAAAAAGTAATCACATTTTTGTTGTTTTTAATCATATTTTGACTGACCTTTTCTCTTGTAATCTTTTGGTGCCACACTGTGCAAATTACACTGAGACATTGCATAGATATAAAATAATGTCATAAAAATAAGATATTTATATTTAACATCCGACATGCATATTCACAATGCATATATAAACAGTACCTACTTTTTTTGATAAATAAAATCATTATTATTTCACCCAAACAACTACTCCTTAATTCAAAACAATTTAGAGAGGATAATAGAACTACCCCTTAACTATAAAAGAATTTACAGAGGACAATAGGACTAACTCTTAGCTCAAAACAATATATAAAAAAAAGCTCTAAATTTGGGGCTATTTCTTAATTCTGCATACTGAGACCAGAATATTGGCTTACTTGTATAATGGTCCAGCATCTAATTGCTATAATACCAGTAAGAGCATGCACCTTAGATTTAGAATCTGTAAAATAACTTTAAATATATTCAGTACAGTACTGCTCCATATCCTTAAGAACAAGGTAAATCTAAATTTGCATATTTCTGTAAATAATCTTAAACATTTTTGTGTCCACATAAAAAATGGATCATAACACTAAACAATTGATTTTTCAGTTACACAAGCAATTTTGAAATGGTGTAATTTATTCAAAATGTCCAGGGATAGTGTATCATCAAAAAGATTTGAATATGTTAAAGACACACTGGAGTGAATATGGAAAAAAAAAACAAACTCCAAAGGGAAGAAAGAAAATATGATGATACTAGCCTTGTTTTATATATGGACAAAAATAAACAAACTTGGTCTCTACAAATGCAGTCTACCCAGTTTGTCAGCAGGAAAGATTATGCTATATTTTTACTGATCTTTCACCATCTTTAGGTGCAAAATAGATAAAAATCAATCAGTTTAATGAACTGTTAAGTACATTAATCTAGTATCAAGATCATATTTTGATCATGCAAGACAGGTGTTGGTGCAATGGCATATAAAAATGTGAAGAAAGTTCTTGTGTGATTGGTTACACAATGAATAAAAAGTAACTGAAGCTAAAGCAAGAGTCTTGGCTCTTGTGAAATTAGAAAAACTAAGTCTGATAATGTCACTGGATTGACTTTTGTTTACTCAACATGAAAAGGAGGATAACAGGATGAGCAGCAAAAAGTCAAACATTTAAAGTAAGAAGGTGCATTCAAACTAATTTGATTGATTTGTTATTTTTACAGCTTATCAACCCTTTGCCAGTTATTTAAAGCCAGAAAATATTTCTATATTTTATGAATGTGTTTTTTTTTTTAGATAATGATTTAATGATACAAGTCTTACTAATTAACCCATAGCTGGAGGGAGACAAGGTGGATTCATACCTTTCCCAAGAGTACTTGTGCTTAAGTGAATATAACGAACCCAACTGGAACTCAGCTCTCCAATTAACAATTCCAAGCGATTATTCATTACACCACCTGCACATCCAAGCTTACAACACCTGGTATTCCCAAAAGGTCATCCATCTAGGTACTAATCAGGCCCAACCTTGCTTAACTTCAGTGATCATATGAGAACCAGTGTTTCAACATGATAATATTTCAAACTAATATCCTTATCAGTTTATCACAGTTTTAACCAAGTGTATTTTTGGATATTTTTTTTTTTTTTTTGATCATCAGAAATTAAAGTTTTAAACCCTACAGTTAATACAGAACAATTTGAATAGTTGTAACTGATTGTCAGCATTACAATGGATCTCTACCAATCCAGAGAGAGGACACCAAATTTGAAAATTATATATAGAGTAAATGTACCCAACATTGGCTGGGCTAAATTTGTAAAAAGTCCTGAGTGAAATCATTTCTTTTCAGTAGTAAAGATTAAATGCTAGCAAACAAGTTTTCTGGAATAATATCTTGTGAGAATATAAACTGTTTACCACATTTCTTTAAAACTTCAAACAAGGTCATTAAATTATACAATGAAATTTTCTAAAACTTCTTTTAAAGTCCAGTATTTTGTTTTAATTTTTAAACTTTGAAAAGCTAAATGCTTAATAGTAACAATGTTTTAAATTCTAAAACCAAGGTTTTTAGTATAAACCAAGTTGAGCTACCAAGCATCTATATTATTAGAATCTTTTCATTATGTATTTTTAAAAGATTCCTTTCTAAACACTTTCTTGCATATGTCAAAGAATCTGCTGTTGTCTTCAGGAAAGAAAGACAAGTAAAATATTTTAAGTGAAAAGGTGAATATTAGAAACAGTTCTAGAGGAAATCATTTCATACAAGAAGGAACAGGTTCACCAAAGAGTCAATTTCAATGGACAACTTATCAAGATAGAAAGCAATAGCAATGTGTGTTTTGGGGATGACACACATATATAAAAAGCAAATACTTTTATATTTATTTTTCTTCATCTCCATTCAATTTTCTTGTTACTGTCTCTTTTGTTTGGAAATCTTTTTTCTGGAGAACATATGATTTCAACAGAACCAAATTGCTTCTAAAATCAAGTATTTCTATACATTTATTGGATTTTTTTTATATCTGCAATAACTTAATATTGATACAGATATTTACAAAACAAGGCTAAATCAAGCAGAGAGGTAATAACTTTTACAGTTTAACCTTGTCTAATGAAAAATGGTAATCTGTTAATATTAATATATTTTTTACCCAAGGATTTAAAATTCCGATTTTTATCGTTGTGTTGGTCCCACCCATGTTTTAGCCATTCTAGTCTCCAATTTTCTTCAGGTGAATTTTGTGGCCCCATTCAAAGTAGAGTCTTATTGTTGGTCTTGTTCTATGCATAATACAAACTGTGGGTTATTGGTTTTTCTTACCGACTTACTGACACTGTAGCAAAATAATATGGTCCAGCAACAAAACTCTCCACAAGATAAAAATTCACCAGATGCCCTCCCACAAGAAAAAGAAAACAAATATATAAAGAAACAAAACACTAACAAAGATAAGGAAAAAGTTCAAAACTTATCTCAAAATTGCAGATAAAAACAAAAATTTATGACTATCAATAAGACATCAAAAATGAGATCTCACCTTTCATTAATTAATTCTGGTTTCATGCCTATTAATAAACAGTTATTGTCTTAAATTATCAGTGCTCCACCAAAAATGATAAGTACAGTATGGTGTTAAAATACCAACGAAAAATCAAACAGTAAAAATGAAATTGTTAGTTTAACCAATGAATTAACTTAATCCAAATATGCTATTTCATTTTTTTATGAATCAGCAAAGAAGTTTTACTTGAAGTTAACTTCAGTAAAACTTCTTTACAAACACATCGAAAAGAATAAAACTCCATAATAAAAAAAAATTTTTTAAATTACAAACAAAAAAAATGAACACAGTATAGCTCAGGCCACATCAAATATGTGTACCATGAACATTGGGCTACGTTCCAAAATAATCAGTTTCCCATCAGTGGAGAGGTCCACAGCCTGTGGCCGTAAAACAGACTGGTCTTTGGTCAGAAAGATCTTATCAAGACTCCCATCTCGAAAGAGGCGGACAACTCTTGATTTCCAAGTGTCCGCAAGGTAAATATAGTCATCGTTGGCCACCACTCCAAACACTCCACACAGGCACACACTACAGTGACTTTCACTGCCACGAAATATAAAATTCACCCTCCCTTTAAAGTCTAAACATACTAAACAGTTACTGTTTTGGTCAATGAGAAAAATGTCTCCATCAACAGTCGTAGTGAGCTGAGTGACGGACGAAACAATATCAGGAGAAATTGATGGGATGTCTATGCGTTGAATAAGTTGAACACCATTTGACTGAACAGAGAGAACATCCACCAACAGAGTATCAAACGAACTACACATCAGGTGGTTATCCCGGGTGGATACGATACCCCGGTATTGGTTGATGGTTGGCAAGCTACGCCATGACGATGGAAGAATCATATTAACGTGTTTGATAAGGCGAATCTCCCAAGAATAGGGAAAAGTAATGGCAATTTCATCTTCAGACCATTTGCAGATCCCAAAAGGTTGCGTACTAGTGCGTAAACAGCCAACCAAATGACCCTGCCTATTAAACTGTTTTACACTGCAGTTGATACTATCGCTAACAATTACTCGCCCATTGAGCAAACATATCACTTCACTGTGTGATCTGTAGTCAGTTTCTCCAGACAGCTTGGCTGAGAACTGGCCAATTCTTATAGGAAAAGACGGTTTCAGAAAATCAGAGAGCAACTCAGACTTTCTCATGAATTTGTCTTTGTCTTTCACACACAAGGAGGTCCCAAAGTTGTTTTCTTCTTTGATTGACTGTTCAAACTTTTCACATGAACTCTTGTCTTTGGATGGCGTTTCAGCCTCCAGAAAAACCTTTCCGAATTTGTGGACCTCAAAACTCCGCGATAAATCAAAGTAATCTTGGTTGGGGAAGAATTTTAACGTATGGCACAGTCGGGTTGGTTGTGGCAGTTGAACCATATGATCTTGGGTCATGTTTTGGTAAATGTTCATGAATTGTGAACAAGATGATTCCATTGCACAATCCAGGGTTGCAAGATGGCGAGATAGTGACTCAACAATGCTTTGGGCATGGCCCAGCAGCATGTCAAGGTATTTTTGCTGTTCATCATGAAGCTGAATCAAATCTAAACAAATCTCTTTCTCTCTCTCTTTAAGAATTTCCTCAATTCTCATCCTCAGGCCAGCAATCTGTCCCTTCACTTCTTCCTTTGCTTGTGTTACGCTCTCTTTCTGCTTCAAGACATTCCTAACCATCTCCTCAGCCTTTTCTTTCTTGTTTGACAACTCAACCCGACTAGCTTTGGCAGCATCCCGTTTATCCGGGTAGACCGTCAGCAGTGAGTGGACATAACGGTCACATTTTCGGTGCATGTCGAAAAAACACAAGCAGCAAATCATCTGCTCACATTTTGTGCAAAACAATTCCATCTCTTTTGAGCTGTGCTGAGGGCAGCTCGGACCAGATGGGATTTGGGCCAAGGCAGCACTGAGAGTTAAAACTTGGTGGTCCATGGCAACTGGCTCTGTACGGGAGGCATGATTATTGGCACACGTGGAGCAGAGGCCTTCACAGCAGGGTTTGCACCAGGAATTAGCAAGTCGGCGTTTCCGTTGCTTCAGACAAGGTTCACAGAAAATGCAGCCCTCAGTAGCTTTATTGAGGGACAGCAGGTTGACAAGATGATGGTTTTGAGGAAAAGCTCGGCCCCATTCTGTTGAAAAAAAAAATAGATAGTCTAAATGAAAATGAAATTTACAGTGTAACAAGACAAAACAAGAAATATATTAATCAACATATCAATATTTGTACCTTCTATACTGTAATACTGCTAGATCATTTATTTTGAAAGGGAACATTTTTTATTATTTCAGTTCCAACTTTTTTAGTGGATGACTGCATAGATCTGCTTAGGGTAGGTGATAACATGATAATAAAACAAAACAATGTACAATGATTGGTTGGAAATTTTTTAATAAAACAAAACAGTGTGCAATGATTGGTCAGAAATCATTTAATAAAAAACAGTGTGCAATGATTGGTCAGAAATCATTTAATAAAAAACAGTGTGCAATGATTGGTCAGAAATCATTTAATAAAAAACAGTGTGCAATGATTGGTTAGAAATCATTTAATAAAAAACAGTGTGCAATGATTGGTTGGAAATCATTAAATAAAAATAGAGACTTGTGGGAAAATTAAATAAAATAATAATTATAAAGAATAAAATAAATAAATTCATTTTCATATGATGCAATTTATAAAAAAAAAAAAAAAAGCCCAGAAAGGGTTCCTGGTCACATGTGCAATTTTGACTCCACTTTCAGAAAAGACAGAATCTTTCTCTTTCCACTTTCCAACGAGATCATCCAGACATGTTTTTAGCAGCCCTACTCATGAAGTAGAGATTTTGCCATCCCGACTCAGCGCAAAGCTGACTTGAGCTTGATGGCCATTACCATTCTTATCCTTGCTTCCCATAAATGTTGAACCAAAGAGATATACTCAAAAGACCTATTAATTTTGTTTCAATACAGTCCAACATAAAAGAAATAAATGTCCATAGCAAAAATTCAAGTTTTTTGTATGCTTTGTTTATACATTGAACAAACATCTTCACCTTTAAAAATACACACAAAACCCATAGCCTTGATAACATCCACAAATTTCATTAAAAAATCACTTTACCAATATGATAAAAATATAAAGTGTATGAAGATTTATAATTTCATCTATGACATACAGTTACAAAACATGGAAGTTAAGAATATTGCTTGAAATCAAAATAAATGCTAAAGGACAGAAAGGGATCAGTAGGGATCAGAGAACAAATCAAGATGAAAAGGAACAAGTCATGTGATATCAGAAATTGGTCAAGAGGAAAATTTACCATATGATTGAAATATGTAGACCTAAGAAACAAAAGGAAAGATATGTAACCAAAATTTAATCTGAAAATGCAAGCATTTTCCTTTGGTAGATGAATTACCTACCATCATCAGTGAAATGTCAGGGTAGATTGGGCTTTCTAGCTTTGGATGGTAGTCAGTCAAGGAGTAAGGTAACTTTGAATTCAAAACCATGTTCAAATTTGGATTCAGTCACTTTCCCTCAGCCATAAAGTAGCTTCCCTGTGCCTTTTCTATAAATACTTTCATGGTAATTGTTCTGATGAACTTTCCTTTATGATACCTAGAGGTTATGAATTTAGGTGCACTACAAGATTGGTGGTGAAATCGTCATTTTACAGTTGAAATGGCTAGATGTAACTGTAAGTTCTATGATATGTTTTATGTTTTATGTTTTATGATATGTTTCTTCTCTTGCATTTATCGCTCATGGAATTCTCTTCTGGTTTCTTTCTTTCCAGTCAAATTTGATCTACAAAAATATAAATGCAATGTCAATCATTATCTTCTGTGTTAATTCTTGTTCTTATATTATTCTCTCTCCTTAATAGTGTTTGTTTTTGTTTTTTTTTCTTATATTCTCTTACATTCAGTAATCCCTTGTGACTTAGTGTCTTTACTGCCTTGATTGGGATGAAATGATTTAAAAAGAAAAAAAAATATTATTGGATTTTACAAATGAAAACAATACTGAATCTCTCATACATAACATTACATTCAATCTATTCAATCTCTATCAACACATGGTTGTGTAGTTTGAGGGACCTTCTCCAAACATAGACCCTACATTTTCATGTGAATGTAAGAGAGTACTCTGTTGCCTCTCATGTTTGTATTTATATATTTACCAGCCATGAAGTTTTCCCCACACATGCACACCAAAGGGACAACTGAGAGGATCTCATGGAACTTGTACATGGAGGCTAGGAATTCATCCCCCAAGATATCCTGTCAGTGCACCTAGGTTGATGATGTGGATCTGTCGGCATCAGACACTGATATCCTGTAAGGTGCAGATATACTCTTGGTGACAAAGAGGTTATCTCTTGCAACAACCAGTTGATGTCTCTGGCATCTGACATCACACCAAGTGTAAAGTATATTCAGGCATTAACTGGGGTGAGGCACATACTACATGTGGAGAAGTTAATGGAAAACCAATCCACTAACTAAAGTCATAGCAATTCAGAACTGACTTTCTTGACGAGACACGGCATTTAAAAACAAAAATCATGATAGCAGACTTTATTCATACAGCACACACAGACATTGAGAAGTTCCATCAAAGTACTTACATTGCTGCTGTATTTGGCTAACATAAAAGAAAAATTCAGGTGTACCTTTGTCTGCTAAAGAAATTATATAACATAGTTTTGTCCCACCATAACACTACACGTACAGCTATATCACATTGAAACACTGTTCCCCATATGATTACTGAAGTTAAGCATGATCAGGCCTGGTCAGTACCTAGATGAATGACCGTTTGGGAATACCAGATGCTGTAAGTTTGGATGTGTGGGTAGTGTAATAGATAATGACTCAGAATTGTTAATTGGAGAGCCGGGTTCCAATGCCAGTTGGGTTCATTATATTCACCTACATGCAAATACCATTGGTAAAGGTGTGAATCCATCCCTTGTTCTCCAGCTATGAGTTAATTAGTAAAAGTATCACTAAATCATTATCTCAAAAAAAAAAAAAAAAAAAAACAACAAATATCTTACAATCTAAAAGAAATATTTTCTGGCTTTAAATAATTTGCAAAGACTAAATAAGCCAAAGAAAATGAATCAATCAATCAAAAAATATCTGAGAGTACAAACGGCATCTGAATTAAATTATGGTAACAGTTTCTTAAATACGATTGTTCATAATCAAAATAGATACAGGTAGAACTTTTGAAAAAAATAAAATAAAAATTGTAATTAACAATAGTCATTTTTTTATAACCATTGTTATGCACTGGTGTGAAAAAAAGTTTGGCAAACATTGACTTTTATGCCTGCAATAAAATATAATGTCAGAAGGATGGTTTTTCCTATCACATTACTTTTATTTTAACTACCTTCACTCTTCAGTAATGTTTATCATTTCAAAAAGTGATGAATTGTTCTTAAGAATTTATAACAAAAATATTAAACACTATTTATTTATCAGATTGTTTATTTACAAGAATAATTTTATATTTACAACATTCTAAAAACTGTTACAATATTTATCATTTACCAATTTATAAAGAAATAAATATGTAAACAATTTTTTATTCACTAAATTATTAAAATATATGAACCAACTATTAGGAAATCCTTATTATTTACCAATTGATAAAGTTTGAATTGATTACCAAGTAGCCAATGTTTTGTCAATCATTCCAATAAACAATATAATAGTGTAAATAAACCATCTAATAGTCTTTACTATTTTTCAAGAAAGAATTTCTTAATTCTCAAGAAAGAAATAAAATGTATAAATTCACTTTCAGATGTTTAGGTTTTATTTTAATTGTAATCATCGCTTTTAGAAAAAATAAATATTGCCGAAGAGTGAAGGTAGTTAAAAAAGCAATGTCATGGGAAGAACCATCCTTTTGACATTCTTATTACAGGTACTATTATCTATGTTTGCCAAAAGTTACTTTTCTCCTTTCTTGAAAATATATTAAACTACTAAATGAATTTGAAAGAAAGAAAAAAAGAAAGTAAGTAAGAAAGAAATAGAGAAAGAGAGAGAGAGAGAGAGAGAGAGAGAGAGAGAGAGAGAAAAGAAAGAAAGAGAGAGAGAAAGAAAGAGAGAGAGAGAAAGAAAGAAAGAAAGAAAGAGAGAAAGAAAGAAAGAAAGAGAGAGAGAAAGAGAGAGAAAGAAAGAAAGAGAGAGAGAGAAAGAAAGAAAGAGAGAGAGAAAGAAAAAAAAAGAAAGAAAGAAAAAGAAAGAAAGAAAGAAAGAAAGAAAAAGAAAGAAAGAAAAAGAAAGAAAGAAAGAAAGAAAAAAAAAGAAAGAAAGAAAGAAAGAAAAAGAAAGAAAGAAAAAGAAAGAAATAATTGTAGAACACTGGTTCCTTTTGTTGAAATTTAATTCCTTTAGTTGTTTCCTTTTATTTTGTTTCTTTTAAAAATATTTATGCAGATTATGAAATTTGCACAGTTTGTAAATAATGCAGAACTGAAGACTGTAGTGAATAACATTAAGAAGAGAGAAACATCATTAAACAAGAAACAGGCCCATTGGAAGACCTCATAATCATTGTCAAGAAGAAAAAGTTGAAATGGTATGGACAACTCCTAAGAGCCAACAATCTTTCCACTGCCATCCTACAAGGTACCACCTTAGGCAAAAGAGGCAGATAGGGGCGGGGAGGTCTGACACTGAGCAAACTGGAAGATCATTCAGAGACTCAGACATTGGCATACATCTGAGATGCATGGAGGGGTCTGATTAGTTGCTCCACTGCATAGTAACCCTATGACCCAACCGGGTGATGAAACTGAGGATAATGATGAAAAGAGAAAATTGTCAAATAAAAATAAACAAATCTTGAAATCTTCATTAAACTGATTTGCTAAAAGTCATGAGATAGGTGCCTGGTAGCATATGGTAAAGAGCAGCAACTTGACAAGGCATCAATTCCACAAGTGAACAGAAAATTTCTGGAGAGATGTTGAACCATATCTTCTTGACAGCTGTCCGCAACTCTGATATTTGTAGGTGCAGAATCTTGTATTCAAATAGATAAGTGAATGCTCAATTGGACTTATGTCAGGTAAACAGTGGCCATGCTCTTCACTGGAAGCCAATTCTGGGCAACTTGAACCTGATGACATAGTGCATTTTCCTTTTGGAATAACACAGCAGTTGGAAGTATCAGAAGCCTCTGGTTGCAAATAGCCATGAAGCAATACAACATGTGAATGTGATTTAAACCAGTGGTCAATGATATATTTCAGCAGACCAGTGGGCCTAACCCATGCCATGTTAACACCCCACCACACCAGTATGGGACTTCCACCAGCCTGTATGGTGCCTTGTTAACCCCAGTGGGTCTGTGCCATACCCAGATCCAATTATCAGCCAAAAACAACTGGAATGATCACTCATCAGACAAAGTTACACACTACCAGTCTTTCAAGGTTTGACCATGTGAAGTGCAGTGTTCAGAGCCAGGTTGTTAACAGAGGCATCTTGTTAAGTCTTTTGCTCCCACCTCCCATGGATGCTAAAGGACAATGAATTAGCTTGCTGGATATCTTTCTTTATTTTTTTTTAATCAATTTACTACAAGGAAAGCAATAATGCCATTAAAAAACAAGGGCTTCTTTGAATGATAGAGAATGAGAAGACTTTAGAAGTAACCAGTCTGGTCACAATCATTAAGGACCCATACCAATACAGAGTCACCAGCAACCTGCACGACATCAAGCTAACAGGCTGGATCCATAGCCTAATGTGAACACCTCTACATGCAAACATAATTGTCTCTCCAAAACTTGTTTAACCAGTATTCAATGATCAAATGACCGAGATAAGGCACAGTGTTTGGCGTTAATAATAGTAAACTTATTAGTCAATGACTATGAAACATAATAGAATATAGTGTACAGTGTATTGAATGATGGTTTCAGTGGTACTAATGTTGAATTGGGGTGTGATATGATATAATATTCACCTTTCTGGGAAAGGTCATCATTCATATCAGTAGCTGGTGGTCTTGTTTATGCATAACCTGTGGGTGGCTGCTGTTTTCATGAGCTGCTGATGTCTGTCCTGAATTCAAACATTCCTCATTGCTACTGTTCCCAGAAGAAAAACCTTGAGCAGGTGCCATCTAGGAGATGACATGCCTCATTTATCTGCTTCCTCCTCCTCCCAACAATTATTCTGTAGTTAAACTATGCTAAATCTTCTTTGCATTCTCTATCTACCACAGCTGCAATATCACATCTAAAGTTCATCTATTAGGACAGACATATGTCAATCTGGCTAAGCCCATGATTGTGGGGTGGATAAGGCGATTTCTTCCAATTTATTGCTATCTAATTTTTTGGCACTTCAGTTACACAAATATACACACAAACATTAGCATAATACCCATAAAAAATTACAGGATAATTTAGGTATGGTCTGGCACTTCCGTTGAGAATCAGAGTATCTGTTAATTATGCCTACAAAATGCCACTTCAACCCACTCTAGTTAATAGAGTGTAATATCTGTGCACTTTGCCAAGGAGCAAAATGTTGATCCCCAGCACTTCTGCATGGGTTAGTATAGTATCTGTGCATTCTATGAAAAAAAGAAATTACATACATGCATACACCCATACACATATTTACAGATATAATGACAATTAGATATGGAAATGGTTTATCTTATTCATAATGCAATTAAGGGTAACATTTAATGATAATAAAAATAACAACAATAATATTGCTAAAATAAAAATAATGGTAATAAAAATACCATACATAACAATATTAATGATAATAGTAACGACAAGATGTACAGATAGTGTAATGGTTAGCAGTATGATAAGTGGAATCAGAGAAGCGTGTTCAAATTCTAACATGGTCTGATGTGCTCACTTTCACACTAATGCCCTCAAGAAAGGCATGAATCCATTTCTTCTCCTCCACCCCAGCTATTAGTTAAATAGTAGACTGAACTCTCTAGCCTTTGTTGGTAGCATGTAAGAGAATGTCTACTCTTGAATTTAAACACAGGAAAAAGCAGCAAGAAACCATTTAACTAGCTTTTTAAGAAATCATGGCTATTCACAGGTAATAAAAGAAATCTGTGGAGAGAAATTTCTTACATCCCTTTGGGTCATGGCGTTTATAAAAAATGAAATAAGGATTATAATTCCAGAATCATATTAAGGTTTTCCTCACTGGGTGATCCATACTTTTGGCCTTATGCCACATCTAAGCTATGCTTATAAAATTACAATATTAAGATTATTGCAGTTAACAAGAGTAATCCAAATAACAATCACAGCCACTGTAATAACATTTTATAAAAATGCTAAATAATAATTAACACTACAATGATACTTCCTAAAAGTGTTATTTGTAAATCAATCAACACAAGGTGACTGCAATGGTAGTTACTGTTATTTAAATCAAGGTTGTAGATATTTTATCAGACTACATGCAAAAATGTGTACATGTATGCATGAATTTATACAAAACAGATATATCACAAATATAGACTACATATATAAATACAAATGCTAATATAAAAAAATAACTATACACCATATTTAAAAACCTATAAGAAGCATTAAAAGACATTCTAGCTTTATAAGGGCATTTTTGTGAAAAAAATGTTTACAATATTTGCTTGTATGCATTGGAGTTATTATAATTGATCATATATTATTATTTAAATATATATATATATATATTAATATATTGATCATATAATTGATCATGTATTTTTTACAGTTTGAGTCTTTGAGGCATGATATTTAATCTATAATACCACAACTAAAACAAACTTTCTAATTAAAGCTATAAAAAAAGACATATTAAAAAAGGAGGGAAGGAAATTGGGCAAAAGAAAATACAGCCACAATAAATGGGGAATAATAAAAAGGAATAAGAGAGCAAAATATGAGAAACATCTGACTGGTTTGTGTTCCTTTCTTTTGGTCTACCTGTCTTTCAAACAAGTTCTATCAGTTTCTAGTATTTTTTTAAAGAAAAAATTACATATCTTGTTTGGTATTGACTATGGGTAATTGAAATTACAAAAAGCAAAATACTGAGTAAACTGGAAACCACATTTTGATTTGTTGGATAACTGCTTTTTGTGAGAGATGAGGTAGTAGTGGTTGATGTTCAAGTCCAGATAAAAAAAAAACAACAAAAAACAGGATCTCAAATGCTCATTTATAAGATTTGGGGCTACACAGTCTTTGTAAATCCTACTTACACCTTTGTTAGACTAAATTGCCCTTTATATCTACAATTATTTACCGAGACTTTATTTTAGCACAAGACCACAGGTATATGGTACCTTGTGAGTATTTAACTCACTTGTAATATTCTACAAGACCAGTTTGCAGAAACGATTACATTATGATAAGGCAAAATGTAAAATCTTATAATTTTTTTATCATTTTATAAATGTTTAGACAAAGGAATCAATATCAGAAACTAACAACATCTGTTACCATTAAACTTACCAAAAAACGTTTGAAACTATTGAAAATAGGAAAATTCAGACAAAGCTAACCAATTGAGACAATAATTATTTCATTAGTGTAAAACCAAAATCTGAGCAGTCAGAATTAGGATACTGTACAAATATTAACTACACACAAGTGTTTACACAATGTTAATTTTTGCCCTGTCAGTGGTACCTAGAGTATGCTGACTACATTCTCTGCAGAGAGGTAAGGATACAAAAGAAGCCACCTTATAGGTAGATGCTTGAGACAGACCAATTTTTACCTATAGATTCAAGTATAAGAATAAAAAATAGAAAAAAATTAACATTAAATAATCCAATAAGGATTAATATGTCAAAGAATCAAAATATTGCTGATGTCATTCTTAGAGAGTTAGTTTGAAAAATAGAATTGTAGTATGTACTTATAGATTCACACACTAAGTTGTTAGAATCAAATTAAAAAAAAAAATTCATTGAATTGAAACTAGTTTAAATCCATATTGCTAAATGTTCTTCTAAAATCTTTCTCCACCAAGCCAAGCTGCCTTTGCCATCATACCCACCACATACATACATACATAAATACATAAAATAATAAAATTACTCTCTCCAATAAAATGATACAAAATATGTAAAATTATCCTCTACTTTTCATTAAGTTCTAATTGATCAGTGTGATGATAAAAAGGCATAAGCATTTAAAAAAAAAAGATTGAAAAAGGCCAAACTCAACATATGCCCTTTTTTGCATAAAACAAATTTTTTTAAAAATTGTGGCCTAACTTCACAAAATGTCTTTGTATGAGAATAATGTCCGTTATCTTAGAGATCAGTTTGCATATTTTAAAAATGGAAGGACATGCAAAAATGTCAACTTACACCCTTTCATATTACCTATGAATTGTAAACAGACTATATTTGAAAGCATCGCTCTGAAGTTAAAACAATGATTTTGCAGAGCAATACCATTTGCAAATATCAAATTGCATGAAAAGTCTGCTGTTGAATTAATTGAGATAGAAAAAATTTATTGCTTTGAAAAGCATTTAATTTCGCCTAATTCAGAAAGGTTACTTTTAATTGTAGTGATATGCATTTGAAAAAAAAAAAAAAATTAACATATATATGGTACACCTGTACTGTTTACCCAAAGGAGAGTATGTGAAGTGAGATGCTTAAACAATTTGGCATTGGTTAGAGCCTGTAGTCTTTGCCAAAAATAGATAAGACAAATAAAGCAATAATTCAAGGGGTCAGAAGGTTCAGTGTTCTTAAAGACATGAACTACAGAGGAAGATTTCTAACAAGCTGGAAAGCAAGAAGCAGCAAGGCATTAGTATAGAATTTGGAGAGAACAGAACCAGGTCAGGAGCACATTACCTTAGATAACTGCAGGGATACCATTAAATCCACAAGCCTTGTGGGAGATCAAGTTTAGAGATGATAGCAGAAATCATGGACAATGTTAGGTGAATATCACTCAGTAAAGATTCCATTCTAAGGGGAAAAGCAAGATACTCCTGAAGAATCAAAAGTAGAGATGGAAAATAATTTCCAAGCAAATTGATTGAAGAGAGGAGGGGTTGAGGACTTACTTTTGTTCAGTACACTCTTACAGAACCACCAATTACAGAACCACCAGTAATCTCTAGAACCAAACTTGTGAAAGGCTATGCAGTATCTATAAATTGATATGACTTCTTAAGAAAAATAATGTTCAACTAGACTGGTTGCAACCCAATGTATGTGAGCCCAGTCTACTATTTAACCCATAGCTGGGGGATAGATCCATACCTTTTCCAAAAGATATCAGTGCCAAAGTGAGCAAAACAAACTGGGTTAGAATTTGAATATGGCTTTCTATACTGATAACCATTATGCTACCAGCACATCCTAGTTTACTCAACATTTACCAATAAGCTTCATTAGCCAAACACAAGAGAAATCAGTCCTTTTATCAATCAACAATGTTTCTGAATGTGAATAAATGAATTAACTAATGAACATTTTTTTAAACAACGTTTAACTGAAAAAAAAGGAAAAAAATGTTTAATCCACCCTATCGTAATATATATCTCATGACTCATTCAAAGATATTAACTACAAACCCTCACCAGCATGAATATAAGGAATCAGAATGGAGTAAGAATTATTCACCTCAAAAACAAATTCAGCAAATGTAGCTGCTCTTCATCTCATGCAAATAGTTTTTAGAAAAAGGTATGAATCTACTTTTCCCTATACTCTGTCCTCTTATTTAGATATTAGATGTTTAGTGGCACTAAAAAAAGAATCAGTAAATCAAGACAATTTCAGCTGGAATGATGTTTACCTTTGGGAAAGATATCAGTTCACTTTCCTCTACATAAGATGTCTTAACAAAAATGTCACATTACTGACATGATTGACAAAAGGAAAGTGGGAGAAGACACACTTGGGCAAAATACAAATGCTGTTATACTTATAGCCAGCCTTCACAAAAATCTAATCAGTATGACTGTCACTAAGAAATTCACTTAGTTTGATAGTAAATTTATTTTTATTTTTCATTCATACAAGTTTGGCAGAGGCACAATCAAGGGAGGTATGTACTGTGCCAATATATCAAGGGAACACCAGCCTACCTTGAAAATCAACTTGAACATTGACAACAGTAAAATATATGCAATTAGTTTAAGCACTAAGCAGGCCATCATAGACATGACACATGCACTACTGACTAGCATGTCATGGTTCACTACAGATGCATCTTTTCTTGCAACTCTCTGGGTATAAGTGAAAGTGGCACTTTTAGCATGATAGCAACCAAAAGATCAATTATGGGAGAGTGCTTTACCAAAGTGTGTATTTGTCCATTAATCTCCATCAGCCACTATGGTAGGTCAATAACTACGGCAGATATCCAAGATTTCCTAGTATAAATTTTATGTGACAATGAACTTTATCAACCCAGGAAGCAATATTAACTGCAAATTACATGCTTTGAACCTGAGCTTTCTTAATGCAGTGGCCAAAGGCTGGTTGATCCAATCAAAAAGTTTACAATTTATTTAATGAACTAATTGTTGATACAAGAATTTAAACAAACTTGTTCAACTTTGGTAAATAGCTTAAAACACTTAAGTACAAATGGCTATAAGATTTGATACTGTTTGTAAGGTAATGGTAATATTAGCCATTTCCTTATAAGGAAACATTTGGCATTCCTTAACTGAGCAGCCAGTGCCACTTTCGGTTGAAATTTATAAAACTTTTCTTTTAAAACTATTTTTCAGGAAAATAGGTTTCTCAAATTCAGTAACTTGTCACACTTTCCAGTAATGATGGGGCTTCCTTCCTTTTGTTTGAAGTAGTGTGGAACATCAACATCTTGATTATGTCATTATTTTCTCTTCAAGTTACATGTGATATTCATTTTAGTTGTTGCCATTGAAAGTCTTCAAGTGATGTGGTATCTATTATTTGGCACAGTTCTTTGTGATTCTGTAGCCCCAGTCCACACAGTTTGAAAAAGGATAGTCCTATTGCATACAACTAACAGTTTAGATATTTCTGATCAAGTTTGGTGCCATGAATGACATCCATATGAAAGTCTCAATCCGCTGAGAAATAACCTTATTCATTGTAACAGGTTAGTGACACTTACCTGTTTACAATAATAGGCATTTGTCAACAACAATGTCAATAGAAAACAAAATCAATATTAGCTTTTTATATTTGTAATAATGGAAAACAATGACAATATGGTGGTTTTATTAAGGGCATTGTTTATTCTACTTTTTTGTTGCATTTCCAACCACAGAAATGAGCAAACAATTGTACTTGTAAAATCTATCATTTCCATAAGTTAAAAAGTAAAAAAAAATATGTATAAATAAGGACTAATTCTGCAGTTCAGTGTTTTAAATGATGGATACCAATTTTCAGCTAATAACAAAAAGGGGTACATTAATTATATAATAAACCTATTCTCCCAGTAATACTTGCTTCAAGTTCTTATCACTCATTTTAAATGCCTTTCTATAGCAAAATTAGATGAAAAGCATTTCTATAACAGCATTAATTAGCAAATCTATATAATACTAAAACTGTAATTTTATATGTATGTGTGTGTGTG